GTAATATAGTATTTCAATAAAATCAGTAGGAAAGAGTACCTTTTAAACGCGCAACGCCCAGCTCTGACTTTTCCCTTTTTACAACACACAACAATCTCTTATTTTCACAGGCTATCCTTTGTCAGGGCAAACGTCAGTGTGGATGTCAAATGCACTGATGTTGACATGGACTGAAGCGTAGCCTACACACACACACACACACACACTCACTCAGGCCCGCGCGCGTGCACACACAGACAAAAGTTTGTATCTTGCACTCCTAATCTTCAATGTGACTGCGTTTGGAAGTACCTTGTTAGGAGGTTGAGGATACAGAGTGGGGATAACGGAATAGAAGCGGAGTCCTTGCAAGAGGGAGTTGCTTCAGTCCCTGCGCAGGCCCCGTGGGAAGACAGCAGTGTGAGACCCAAAGGCATCTCCCCCAAACTCGCTGCATTTGGATCTTAGAGTTTTCACTTCTCAAACTGTGAGAAAATAATTTTGTGTTGTTTAAGCCACCTAGTCTGTAGTATTTGTTCATGCCAGCCCCAGCAGACCAATATGGATGTGAATTACTAATATTGTTAGTCTTTATAAGTATGTGTACAACTACACAAACACAAGTGTACATACAAAGACTCACAAATACATACAAGTGTACATACAGATACTTGCATACATACACACACATACAAACACATAAACTGTGATAATTGGACAGGAACATTTTGTTACACTATAATAATTTCTACTTTACTCACTCATTCTAACATCTATTAAATATTAGAGATGTACTTATTAAGGATTTATACTGCTTGAACTTTAAATTATGCTCTTGTAGTAGGGAAGTATTTCTATCCGTGAGATGTATAAGGATTTACTCTAAGTGTTCCTTAGTGTCTTCCCCAAATCAGCTTTTGTTGGCAAGACCCCGTCCTATGTTAAGTTTCCTCTATTTGGCTTCTTTCTAAATAGCTCCACATAGGTGCTCCATGGAGACCCCAGTAGTCACAGCTGTGATGTTCACACATCCACAACCTGATTCTCCTCTCTTAATGTTCACCCAGGTACTGACACTCTCACCATTCATTGCCTGAGGTAGAAATCTGGTGATCTTCTTATCAAATATTGTCTTGGAGTCCAGTTGATTCCAAATTTTATTTTCCTACCAACACTTTCCTCTCATGTCCTTATTTCTGCTGCTTTAATTCTTAATTTTTCTAGCATCTCTCACCAGGACTTCTGCAAGAGACTCCCTACTGATTGTCAGGTCCCAGACTGAACTATCTTCTGATGCATTCCTTAGAGTTTGCACTCCTATTTTTTAATGACAAGCCAGTCACTGTAAATCCAAAAGAGTAATGATATTTTCTTCTCTTTTACAAATTTCAAAGTCGTACCTCATGGTCTGAAGTCTCAACTCTTTATCATTCTGTGTTTTGCCTATGTACGTGGCTAATTCCTGGATTCATATAGCCGTTTGAATTGAGGTCCTCCCTTTTCTAAAAAGGACCTGCGGTGTCTCTACCATAATGTCTTTTTACAGATGTGCAGAACGTTAACAACTTTCTCATCTTACCCACTTGCCTGCTCTTATTCCTCAAGGAATTGTCTTTTAAAACACCCAGTGAAGACCCGCACAACAGCCCTGCTCCCTTGCTCCAGGGCTCCATGGATACTGCTGTCTTCATACCAACAATCAGTGAACTACTTGACCTATAGTTGCTTATGTGCTTGTCTCCGCAGCGTGACAACGGCTGCTTGAGAGGAACTGTGACTTCTACTTCTGAATCTCAATCCATGATGCTTGGCGTAGTAAACACTCACTGAATAAGGAAAGTATAAAATGGGGAGAAAAAACTCTTAGAAGAATTTCTAAACTCGTGGAGGAGCATCTAAAATCAGTGAACAGGTATAACATTGAATATGACTTCAAAATCTTTTTCAGGTTTTCTGTTATATAATAGAGTGAAAAAGCCCTGGTGATGTGAAAACATTCAGGACCTTGAGGCTAAAGTGACTGAGTGAAGCTATGAAGCTAGTTTTCTAGGGCAACTTTTCCTCAAAACCAGGCCTCCTGTTCAAAACTTTTCATACCTATAATGTTTTCTTCAAATAACAATGTATCTTTTATCTGTACACTGACATATTCAATCTTTCTCCACTAGATGATTGCAGAAATAATTTCTATCTCATTAACTCCCATAGTTAACATTTAAGAGGTTTAAGTATATATTTGTTAACTAAAAATATGAAATCAGAACCATATTCTACAAATCTCCCCCCCATTTCTGTATCTTTTATGTGCCCTAGTGTGTGTCAAGTATTAACTGTATGACAAAGATATAGTTCTTGAGCATAAAAAAGCCATGGACACTAAAATCTGCAAGTATTTGTCAAAATATTCCACAATGAAACACTTTTTTGACAGTTTACTTTAGTTGTGCATATTATAGATAGAAGAAAATGAGGTGAGGTCTGTCAAGAAGTAGAATCTAGAATTGACAAAAATGGAAAATAACTTGTCTGCAGTTAAAGCTGCAGTGTTAATTGGCTAATGAGATTAGGCTAATTCCTACGGAGAACTGAACTGAAGTTCTGGTAGTAAAGGAAATGTCCTGATTTACTTGAAATGTCCCAGATATATGTTTAGTATTTTTAAATGAAATAAAACCAAGACAATAAAACAAAACAAACAAACAAAACACTAATCTAATTTAAAATATCTTGTTTCATAGAGAAATAGAGCTATGGTCTGATTAAAGTCTAAGGGACTAGTGGCAGAACTAACACCGAAGCCCAAACCTCCTGGGTTTTTTAGTGGGGGGATTGTTTGTTTTGTTTTTTATTCAGTTTTTTCACCATCACCCATAGTAAGGATGCCTGAATAAACACAGATGTACAGTTACATTCATGCTACATGTGTGCACATATTCATATTCATAGATATCCATGGATGCAAATACATGCATGAATATATGAAAGAAAACGTTTTCTATTAGGTTATCCTTTGGTCAACTCTGGAGTAGGGGGAAGTGCTGCTGTTTGCATTTACAGTAATGAATTGCTCAGATCAGAGACTGCAAGCTGACCACGGGGGGCACTCAGTCTTTTCACTGTTATGCACAGGTGCCACAATTACTTGATTTAAAAGAGAAGAGCTACTGGATGGAACTTGATTATATGGACTTCTGAGCTAATGTTCCCCAGGTTCACCTTATAATGTCTCCTCTTTCTCTGGCACTCCTCACTCACCTCTGATTGAGTCTAGATATGGAACTCAATCCTATCTACCTGTGCTTAGCCTCCTACTTTATTCTATCCCAGTAACTGCAGTGCTAATAAAATTCACAAATGATATTAAAGGTTCCTAATTCCTACCCTAGTTAAGAGTTTACCACTACTATACTTTTTACCTCATCCACCAAATTTCCCGGAATCTTCTCAAATTTTCCAGCTGGAATTTATTGAGGTGAATTCACCAAGTAGTTGTATTTGGAGAGGTAATTTGAAGTGAATTTTCCCACTCTCTCTTGAATAAGTTAATGTAAAAAGAGGGGGAAATTATTTTTTAAGTAATGACAGCCAGGCTTACCTTCAACTTGGGATTGCAGGTAAGAGAACATACAAGACTTGTGATATATTTGTGTGTTTATCCCAACCTACATGTGCAAATGCTCTACCCATCTGTCTGTCTCAGTCACCAAGTGACTCCCTGGCCTACACTGAGACTACTGGTAATACAGCCTTTCCTCTGACTCTGGGGAAAG